GCTTCAGCCGGATTGGGACGTAACCCACGTACGCGCTCGGGAGAGTGCCCTTGGACCGGTTCACGTTCTTACTCGTTGTTTGGATAAACCAGGACTCTAGATGAAGGCGTTTCCTCCAATGTCCCTCGGTGGCCACGATCTGAGTCTCGTCGAGGGAGAAAGAGTGCCCCGTTTTTTGCTCGTGCTCTGCCAGGGCGCTGGCCTCAATATCTTTCTTTTTCACGTCGTATTTGTGTCGTCGAATACGATCCGGGAAGTTTTTCGTTTCCCCCACATAAGCGACCGGGCAATCCGCGCACGGCACGCGGTACACGAGGCCTTGAGCCCTTTCCCTTCCTGGGCCCGTTTGCTCGAACAGCTAACCGCGGCTAAAGTTAGCCGCAGTACCTAGGAGAGGGATTTTTTAGTCACGTGACTGGTTCGGTAGGGATACGGGGAGCTACGCATTGCCCCGTCGCGTCGTTCGACAAAATGGCTGCGGCGTACGCAGTTTCCGCGGTCGCGATCGCATTGGTGTTTGTCTTCAGAGCGATGATTTAGGTTCCGTGTTCTAAGTTAAGAGTGTACAAGTATCCTACGTGCGCCTTAAAGAAACTGACATTTCGAGGGGACTGCGACTGAAGTCGACGGCAGCAGCCCGTCGACAAACAGTGGCTCAGAGTCACCGATTTGTAGAAGTACAGTGGCCCGGAGTCGCCGACTGTCGAAGCTTCGCATCGGCTTCATTGAAGCACGGCAAGAATCATGCATCGCAGCGCCGAAATGTGGGATGCGTTCCAAGGAACACGATAGCCGAGTACGACAAGCGTTTTACGGTGAGCACCAAAACATTTCGCGATAGGGTTGTGATGAGGCCAGCCTCATACTCACGTTATGTTGAGCGCTGTGAAACTAACTTCAAGCAGGAGCAGGATCAGAATACGTTTATTGAAAGGAAGCATTACGGAGAGTTGCCTTTTGAGTAGCGATTGCGGTTTATCGAAAGTAGTCACGCCGGGAAAATTTCTGTTCAGGGTGTCCATTTTGTACAAAATCCTCGTATTCTGCTTACAGTGCGACTGCAGCTGCAGCATCAACCGTTCTGCAGATAAACGGCGGACAGAGGCTCAACGGTCCAATGGATTTTAGCAGTGATGAGTAGCAGAACTTTCTCTGGGTTTAGTGAAATGCTACGTTGTCCATAAAAGACCAGTGACCTGCCGATCGTTCAATTCACTCGCCCTCCAAGAAAGCCGGTACATGCAGTTTTTCCGAATCAACTCCGTTGTGCCGTCTGCGAAAGTTGTAGAACCGAGAAATAAACAATACTGAAGTTGTTGGAAATGCACTTGTTTGTTATTTCGCGTTGCTTCTGAAAAAATATTTTACGGTTAGCAGGAATAATGTTGCAATTGTGTAGATAAACAAACCAAGGTAGCAGACGATCATGCTCCTTCTGCAAACGAAAATGAACCGAGCGACTACCTCAAAGGGGACCGCGCCGCTGCGTCAAAAGAATTGGACCCTAGATGAAAAATTGGAATTAGTCCGGGAAGTTGAGGCTCGAAAATACCAAATCCTGGGAAAATTCGGCCCTACCGTGACTACTAAAACCAAAAGACGCGCCTGGGACCAAGTCGCCAATTCCATGACCCGCCGCCACCAAGTTCCGCGTTCAGTGAAACAGCTTCAAGAAGCATGGAGAAAATTACTTAAAAAGTGCCGAACTTTGTACAGATTGTACAAAGAACATGACCAACGGACAGGTAAGTTCCAATATTTGCGCTACAAAAACAGAAAAAAGGGCGATATTTGTAAAATCTTTATTGGAAACTTTGGGTGCACTGTACAAATTTATTAGAGAGTGATATATTAGCCCCTCAAATTTTTGGGGCAAATATCTCAACCGAAGACCCCATTCAATGCGCGACAACTAACATCTCGCTCAATATCATGAGAGGGCAAGCCCAAAGATTAATTAGCTCTTACTCGCACAAGTTTCAACACAGTGGCACTAACACAGAAATAGCCCCAAAGCACCTTGGATCCTGTTCCATGCAGTGGGCCTGCGTAATTTCTCAAAATTAATGTCCAAATTTTGCTTGCCAAAAACATTGTCTTTAGCACTGTAAACAATGTAGACACTATTGTTCAACTAAACACAGAAGAAAAATGTATGTAGGCAAGTAGCGTGGGAACAAGGGCAGGGGGGCTTCAGACCCCCTTCCCCTTCCCCCCCCCCCCCCCTTGAAATTTCAGACAGCTGCGGTAAACAATGCTGCAAAAGGGGGCGGGGTTAAGCTCAGAGGACCCGTCGCCCCTCCACGTTTCAAACACTTCCGACGCAACCGATTCAGGCACAGAGTGGGCCAGGCTAGCCGGTAGCTGGCAACAGTGAGTTTGCTGTCAAACAAAAAAAAAAAGAAATAAATTGTCCAACATCACATATTACCCGAGACCGGATAATAGGAACCTGAGGGTGAAAAAAAAAAAAACGAAGGTAAGAAAACAATCTTATCATTATTGGCAATTACATGTTTACGCGTTTTCTGTTCATTCGCACATTGATACTATGTTGAATAATGAACACCCTGTCTCCCCTCCCCCACCTTTAATTGTGCTTACATCCTAGAAAACAAAATAAGTGTACTTCAATTCATAGGTGCTGGTCCCAACCCCCATCAGCTGACACCACTTGTCGAGACTGTTTTAAATGTGATCGGGGACGATTCCCCGACGATCTGTGGGATTGACGTCATCATCGGTGACACCGAAAAGTAGGTAACACTTTATAGGCCATGCTGTGTATGCTATGCTCCTGTTGATACTTTATACATTACAATACTAAAGTTGTAGGTATGAGCACGTGGCTTCGTCAATCACCTTACTTGTGCTAATTGAATGGCCCACCCTTACGCCTACAAGTTTGATATCGTTGCACACTGTATGTAGACTGTGACAATGGAGGCGATAGTACAGTGGAAGCTCTGCACCCAGTTACAGCTTACTAGCCCTGACAGCACAAGGATGCACAAGCAGCAGAAGAGAATGAGCACGCGCTGAAGGTGCATTCTTTTTCTGTTCTGCTCGTCACATTATGAGTACTTCCACAAGATGATAGTTATGAAACTGATGATAGGGATGTTCTGCTGTCACTGATGATAGGTATGAAACTGAGCACAGACACAAGGCATATCAAAAGTCACCAATTGTTGGCATGCTCCTAGAAAACATTGATGAGCATAGGGAACAGTTTGGATTGTCATAAAAGAATATATTGGTTTTCCATCTCAAAGTAGACATGTCAGTTGCATAACACTACTGCTGCGTGCCCTTACATAGAGACCAACTTCATGAAGCAAAACGACAATATTAGGAGCACGAGTCAAAACCTGTCCAGTAGAGAACAGAACACAGCACAAGGACACCACCTTCACATATTTAGCCATTTCTGCACTGCTGAAAAAGTGCCAATGAAACCATTTATTAGGGTAAATGCAGTAAAACTCACAGTTTGAAACTATTTGTACCACAAAATTACAAAGAAATATTTACATCATAATCAACAAAGCTATGGTAGTCTTTCTCTCAAGTTGAGATCACCTATTTTCTTCAAAGTCAGGTCACTCAATACCCAAATTTTTCCACTGTCAGTGGAAATGTTTTTGCATGATCTTCGTACATGCCTGCTAACGTAGCAAAAATCCATTCTTTTTTGGTAACGCTTATGAGATTAAGTTGAGAATGCACCAATGACTTATTCGATGCTGATCTGTGCCAACAAAATCTGAAAAAGTATCAATGTCCCAGTTAGCCGGACAGTGCTTGGGTACACAATAATCACATATGACGGCTGGTGTGAGTGTGCCACATCTACTTGTTTTAAATCTTGTACAAATGTCTATGTGGCGACTCTACCAACCGCCAATGAAACGAAGTTGCGGGGTTAGGCACTCCAGTCTGTTGTACCACCAACATATGTGGTAAAATTATGACAAGTGTTACTGTCACATCTGGATTAAGGTTGCCGCACGTTGCACTCAGTTCTCCCACACATATATGTACCCTGATCCAGGGTGACGTCAAAAATGTCATGCACTGCAGCCCTCATGCATCACTTGGAGAGATAGAGGACGGAGAGAATCATGTCACGGAGGACGTACGTGCACGAGTATGGTGTCTAGTCACAATCCTTTGCTTCAATGCTCTGAGCAGCTCTCTGGAGCTGTAGCCCTTGCAGTTTGCTAAGTTATGCTGAAATTTACAAGTTCACTCCTGCCCAACAATAGCCCTCTGTGAGCTGCCATTTTTCTCACTGCGCATGCTCGGAACACGTCCCGAGCATTAACTTTATGCAGGACAATATTGTACCTCGGGCTGCCATCCACAGCCAGTCAGTGACCTGGGTTTTTAAGTTTGCTGATAATCGTTGTAAAGGCTTATGCGTTAAAGGGATACCTCAACGAAATTAAAAATATACCCGTCGTGTTCAAAAATAGGTTGAATATGATCCACTGTATCCCTAAATGACAATCGCACGTTTGTATTTTGAACCTGGTGGCTATAGTTTTCGTTACAAACGGCCCACCCTGACAAGCGCTCGGAGAACAGCCAGCGGAGAGCATGCGACACCCAACGCAATCGTGACGTAGTTCGTCTCGGGACGAGCAAAGCTGCGACGAGGCTGACGTCGAGAGGATGGCCTAGTCGTTCCAGCCACCAAAGCGGCTGCTTTTGTACGAATTTTGAGTGAAGGGTTAATCTTTTATAATCTTGTAGGGGGACAATAGCAACTTCTGGGACATACAAAAAGGATTCTTTGGAAGAGGAGAGTTCCTCCTTCCCCTCTTCTATTGTGGTAGCCGGAGGCGAGACAGTTACCGTCACTAGCTGTCAAGGTTCTTAGACTGGCATTACAAACGAGGCGTTAGCGACATCCACCTGGTGCTCTTTGCCAATCGCTTAATTCGTTTTAAAATTCCTTTTCGTGACTTTTTAACAAGATATTGTTGTGTTCGATGTGATACTGCTCCTTCGAACACATATAGACCAAAAAATGAAACCCGAAATTTTGTTGTAGTATCCCTTTAACCTCAAACAATTTCCTGGTCATGCGTGTCACTACAGCAGCTGCACGGGAAGGGTGACGACGCCGCCACCCTCGTCATCTGGCAGCAGTACAGTTGAAGACGACGCAGCACAGAGAACACTGGCCTCTCCTGTTGTGCAGCACAACCAGCGCTGGACCCGTGAGGCTGCACAGCAGTACCAGAGAAGGGCCGAGCGACAGCAGGATCTGGAGCATGAGAATATACTCCTTGAGAGAAAGTACACAAATGGGGCCATACAGGCTGCAAACGCAACCCTCGCTGCAGCAGATGCTGCACGGAGTTTCTATGCTATAGGGGAGGAAGTGCTCAGGGAGCAAAGAGAACTCATTAGACTTGAAACCACCCGAGCACAGCTGCAAATTGAACTGATAAAAAGACAATTAGGACAAGATTAACTCATGTAATGAGCTACTTGCATTGTTTGTCGCTGTGTTGTATACATATTTTGCGTTTTTTCTGACCTACATACTTGGTTGCACGATTATAACGCTCACATTTTTTTTGCCAAAATGGGTGCCTAAAATTAGATGCACTTACAATTGAAACCAAAACTCAAAAGAAAAACGCAAGGCAGCTAGCCCAATCGCCTTTGTGACCGTTTGTTTACATTAGATATTTTGGTTTCCGTATCGCGCGTTCTTTCGCCTTTATGTCATCACACTGACGGGAAACGATAACCACGGAGCGACACTGCGTAGCCTCGCAATCCCAGCGACCCAATGAGCTCGCGAAGTGTTGTATGAAAAAAAAAAAAGTGAAGGCCGTTTACAACTCTGTAACGCCGAATTAGAGCGCAGCTCTTGGGGAGGAGTAGGGAAGGGTACTGAGGGGGAGGGGGGTCACGTGACCTCGGCGGGGGGGGGGGGGGGTCACGTGAACCCCAGGTCACATGACCCCGCAGAGAAATTTTTCCGCTAGGTTTAGCGGACAAATTTTTCCGCTAGATTTAGCGGGGAATTTTTTCCGCTAGATTTAGCGGGGAAATTTTTCCGCTAGATTTAGCGGGGAAATTTTTTCACTAGATTTAGCGGAGAAATTTTTCCGCTAGATTTAGCAGAGAAATTTACCCATCATGCACCGGCGGTTACGACGACGGCGACGGCGACGCCGCTCAAGCCGGAAACGAGCGCCTAAGAGCTGCACTTATGGGTGTTCAAAGTGCATTACTTTACCTGCGCGGTAGAATCGGCAGCAATTAAATTTTTCGATATCTGGGAGCTAAAATTGCCTGCATGTAAGTATCGGGGCCACGTTAGAATCGTGCAAACATGGTATGTTTGACACTTCATTTATTTTATGCATGCTATCTACAAGGGAAGCTTGCACACAATCTTTTCCATGTCGTTGACTATCCCTACACTAGACCAGCGTGGTTGTTCTGATCGCAATATTTTACGCTGTGGTTAAGTAAGCAACAGAATATCATACTGGCAGTATGGCACCCAGGCTTTCGACGCCCCAAAGGTGGCACATAATTTACATGGATACCTAAAATAAAAATATGGGTTAAGCTCAAAGGCAGATGTATAATTCCTTCTTTCCTATATCCCTTCACATGTTTCCCTTTCATAACGCGGCTCCCCGTCACAGCTCAAGAGAGGAGGTCGCCAAGACGATTAGCCTCCCGGCAGAAGACCAAGGTCGAGTTTCTGTGTTTTAAGAAAATGTTCGAGTCATCGATGAGTGGACCACAGACACTTTCTGACTTGCATCTGCAAATATTCCTTCTGCTTTTAAGATAAAGGCTTTTTCTGCCTGGATATGCTCCTGCGACCTATGGACTGTGTGCTGCTTATGTACGAAAAAGTTCATACTAAGAATATCCCGAAACTCAGGAACAGAAAAAGGGATCAAACACAACACTACATCATTTTGTTGCGTGTGTCACCTTTTGGGGCCCCGGGTCTTCAACTCTTATTACTTTGAATCGTCACCACTTACCTTGTTCTTTAAGTATTTATTTATTTATTTATTTATTTATTTATTTATTTATTTTATTTAAAGAGTACCTTCATCGCCTCGAGGGCATTATTGTAGGAGGGGTGGGAAATAACACACATACATAAAAACACAAAGTGATCACTTGTCCGCACAGAATAGATATACAACCGAGAAAAAAATACACTGTTATCCAACACAACAGTTTTTTGGAGCTGAAATCTACTTGCTGCTTGTACGTAGGCTCGCGATAATTCGAACTCGGATATTTCGTACTTCCAGTTAATTCAAACAGGTTTAAAAATTTTGGTTGTCCCGCTAAGCTTTTTTATGTATTTATAAGCCACTTAATTCGAATGGCGTTTTCGCTTAATTCATAGTTTTTTGCTCTCGCGGCCCTGTTGAGTGCGCTTCTTTCCGAGCACCGGTGCACCGCAGAGAAGCAATACCTGCGGAGCTTGCTTTTGCGAGTGTTGCTTCTCCGCAGTGCACCAGTGCTCGGAAAGAAGCGCAGTCAACGGGGCCGCGAGAACAAAAAACTATGAATTAGCGAAAACGGCACACATGAACGGAAAACGGCGTTCAAATTATGTGCTTCAAGACTAGCAATGATGACCAAGACGACAACGAGGGCGAGGCACAGCTCACTGGCATCATGATTTCTGGCCTTGAAACACGTAATGTGAACGCCGTGCAGGCGAACTATATTAGTCTTGACGACGATGTGTGTGTTTGTCATGATGACTCATTAGAGGACATAATACGGAAAGTAATGCCAACACAGTGCAGCAGTGACAGTGAAGATGACGATGAAGAAATGGATGACCCACTACGAACTGTCACAGCCGCAGAGGCCTTTGAGCACATCGCTCAGCTCCGGAAGTTTCTGTCTGCAAAGGAAAAGTCCCGTAAAGAGCTACTTGCGTTGGCTGGCATTGAAAATTTTGTTTTGAGATCTCATGTGCTGACTAAACAGTCCACAATTGACGACTTTTTTGCCGGATGAATAAACTTAGTCACAGTTCTTTCACAAATGTGTTATGCCTGTACTTGCTTATAGTTATGCATTAACTATAAGCAAGCTACTGTGCTATGTAGAGGAAACTGGCCAAAATCTGCTTTGTATATATCGCTATCCATGTAACAAATCATAATGTTCTCTAGTATCATATATATCCAACTAAAATATGTGACTTTCTGGAGTTTGAATTAATGAGAGTGTAGTATGTACAATAAAGCTCCTCTCTGGACAATGCCCTACTAAAAATAAATGTTTTGCAAATGATGTTATCATGCCAGCCAGGATGAAGAAAATATGAACTAACCCTAGGAGGTTTGTGAAAAATAAGAGAAAAGCTTTGCAGGTTGGAAAAACCTGTGAAAGGTGTTATGACTCAACACTCAGAAGCGTACACTATGTAAATCCTATGAGCTAGTAACCATGAGTATGCAGTGAAAAATGAACATTCTATGGGGTAGTATATATAATTTGTACTGATAGCTTTGAAATTGGTATCAAATGAACATTGTTTCACTATACTCTCCTATTCATGCTCCTGTACCCATTAAATAGTATCGGTTTGTAGATATTGAATGGGAAAATAACTGTCTTCTTCAGTTGCCTCATTATAAACTGTGCACACATAGTCTGTTATAGGGCTGACTTCAGCACTTCCCATGAAGCATCCGTCGGTGTGGGAAATGTATTACAAAAAATAATGACAGTATAAAAAAAGAGCTCCAGAGAGTGCGAAGAAGTGCACAAATTTGAAGAAGCATCTCTCGTGTCATTAGTTAAAAGTTTGAAAAGTGCATTGTTATGAACTCCGGAAATCAAATTCAAAATCTATTAGTTTAAGAGAGCCCGTGTGTGCCTATGCTTGTAGCTCTGCGAGAGTGCAGGAGTTGATGGGGAGGAGACCAAAGCAGTAACAAGCAGTTGAGCTGCAGCGTGCGATTGCAGGAGTGTTGGACATTGCACTGCACTCCCGTTTGACCAATAGCTTCGGCAGGGATTTTTTTCGAGCACACTCTTTCCAACGAGCTAATTATAAGTGCCTCAAATGACACATTTCGAGCTTTGTAACAATAATGCGGGAAGTAAGAAAATTTTTTTTCATTACTTATTTCGTCGCTCATGCTGCAATTTACACATACTGCTATGGAAGCAACAGGTATAAGGGGATGTCCATCAATCATTCTTTACATTTCTATCATCCAAATTTCGAAACTCTATGTGGGATATCTGCAAGCACTACCCGAATTGATCTGTGCAAGAGTGATATATGCATTGCTGGAATGTCATTGTCATGTTGATAACACACTTTCAGCATTGTCACATGTGTCACACTCCTTTATGGGTTATTTTGGGTAGAACTTATGATAATCTTACATCCAGTTAGATCATACAAAAAAAGCTTAAAATAAAATTAATCAATATCTCAAAGCTGTTGGCTTCTTGCTAACTGTGCAGCACGGTTGAGCCCCTAACTGTTGCAGTTTCCAAAAATACAATTGATGTTTAAGTAGCAAAACAATAAATATTATTTCAAGCAATTATTTGATCGAGTTAGACAACTGTCTGACATAATTTTCTTATAATTATCTGCAAAGCCTGATAAACAAAAGGTGAAAGCAATAGCCACGATCATAACAAAGCATCTTGCATTAGAAATGGACAGCCAGAAGATACCTATCCAGACACTTACACTTAGCCGAAGAAATGGTTGACAATAAAGTCTCGGGCCTCGTTGCTCTCAGCACGGTTGGCTGCTACGGGCTCAACGGGAACCTCAGCGGGGATGGCGGCCACGGGTGTCCTGCAGGGGTACCTCTTGGCCAGGTTGTGGAGGGCACAGCACGCGACAATGATGTCGCAGCACCGTTCTGGAGCCATTCGGAGCTCAGCGTGAAGGCAATGGAACCTCCGCTTGAGTTGGCCGATTGTCCTGTACAGAGCGCATGGATCAAAACCACATGTTATTCCTTCCCAGAAACCCAATAGCAAAATCGGACAACAGCGTGGAACGCAAATACTCAAGAGGATGACACGCAACAAGGACAAATTTACAGCTGAATTCGAATCGCAAATTGGCTGCCGTGCCCGATATCACACCTCCTAATTTTTCCAGCCCAAGCTCCAGCCCATTGCTCCAGGATATCGAAAGCTGGGCATTATGCATACCATTTTATTTTCCTTCCGAATTATTTTTACACTGCGTTCACATCCGGGGTCACCTGAGGTTAGCCTGTGCAATGTATTTTATAGAAAGCAACAAGCAAAGTGCAGCTTTATTCAAGCGCTATCCTCAAAGGGTTTCGTGGATATGCTTCCAACCAAACACCTGCATATGCACAGGCCAATATGTTAGAATTTTTTGCTACCTGATTGCTGCCAACGCTGTAAGAATTAACTTGTAACCAAGCTTTATACTGCAACAAATACAGTACCATCAAAATTTCATTCTACATGTTACTTGTGAGACAGAGTGAAAAGAGAAAGAGAGCCAGACTCTTGTCTTGTTGAGCCTTTTCCCTTCCACTCTCCAGGAATAGATGTTCGTGGTAGCGCAACCCATCTACTTTTGTCATTGATCAATAAGAATCCGTCTTGTAAGTCTGGGAGATGTAAAACGTAAAGCACTTGATATAACGCCTTATCCAAGTACTCCTACCCTTTGATTGTGCCGCTAGTGTTCCTATTAGTTAGTGGTCCACGCACCGCCATTCCTGACTCAAGTGGAAGCTCCTGGACGCATGCAGCCAAAGTTTTGGTAGAGGGTCTTATGGCGCTTTCACAACGGAATCCCAAGCAAGATTTGCCTGAACATTTGAGATTGCAGCGACTCATCATCAGTCGTGAATGACGTGTAAGATGGTGTCTAGAGACTATTTGTGGAAACTTGTTATTGCATGCTCAACTTCAACATTGTCCAAAATGATGCCTTGGCACTACTCTTAAATCCATCGATGAGAGCAGAATAGGTCATGCTAGGCATGTACTCTTGGCCAATCGGTCAAGACGGTCAGCAACACACAATTGTTTGCGACTTACACCGATGTGCCGCTATTTTTGGATCACACGCATCTTAGCACGTTTAGTTAGTTTTCATTAAACAGCCCGAAACTGACATTTCAAAAAGTAGACATATGAAAGTGCCAAGGCACAGTGTTACTTCCACTGCTGTGTCTAGGAAAAAAATTCCATTGTCATTAATGCTTCTTTTTGTCCAATTAACAAAATATCAACTTCTGTCCGGGTCTTGCGTAGCACTGGCACCTGAGGTGAGTTTAGTGCTTTTCCCCATTATTGCCAGTCCTGGGGACCTAAGACATAACTGAGTTTCTGCATTTTCAGTCTCAAGCGATAAAACCCAATAAAGTGTGGTGAGGTAAGTTTCGAAAGTTTGATTTTAAACCTAAATGGTCAGTACTTTAGACCATTACAGGTGCATGTGACCGAGTAAACAGAGTATAGAAGCATGTGACCGAGGAGTCAACTATCTTATCTCCGTGCTTTCAAACTATTCTGTTGGAAGCACACTTTAGGAAGTATTTGGGTTTGTCATCGATGCAATTTGCGTTCCTTTGTCCATCAAGTTTGCTGTGGTCGTCTAGAGGGCGGATTTGGAGCGTTTTCATTGTTTGTCAAGCCATTTGGTCTTACTTTTGTTCTGGGAGGAATGGAATGTCATTCTGTTCCTATTGTAGGGAGCATAAGAAAAAAACCAAAGCTGTTTAAACAGCCTCTCTCAAGGTGCTATCTGGTTAGAGGAAAGCAGCTTTAATAGTCCTCCACATGTGAAGAACAAAGAAGCGTGCCAAGAATTACGTTTGCAAATTTTGCGATTAAGAATTTGTCGTCACAGCACATGTATAACCAAGGTTACGTTTGCCATGTCCGCAAGTGTTGCCGCTTGACGAATAACTCAGATATGAACCTAATCTACTGCATTCTCGACAAACCTGCTTGAAAAAAAACGTAACTGGTCAATAGATATCGACCGGAAAAAGGCAGTAAGCTTTCGACTAAAAATATTCATCGATAAAAACTGAAAATTTCATACTCACAATAACAACCGAAAAAAGTATGCCGATTCCAGAAAAATAAAAACTGAAACCGCAGAACCCTAGGCAGCTATTATAAGTTGTATTGATTCGTAATCTCAGGATACTACTTTCATCTTGCTTACATAAAACCACGGTATCTTATGCTTCGTTAGATTAATATAAAAATTTGTATGAATATTTTTATGCCATAAAGAATAGCAACAGACGTAAGGAGCATGCACGTGTTGCACATATTACGTCAAGACAGCTAGTCGTCTCGAAATGTCTTGCATGAATATCTCTGTGCCCTTCACAATATATGGCCTAGATTTACCGTTCAACAATGCTTCTTGTCGTCGTGTGTGCCGTATTGTATGCGACCTCGGCTGCTGATGACGGCGACAGGAATGGCGTCATCAGCCAAGGTTGACAGGAGTAGCCGCTGTCACCAAGCAGCAGGCCGTCGTACTCTCCACTGGCCAGCTTGACTGCCAAGGTGCTCTCCGTGAAGATCCGAGAGTCGTGGGTGCTTCCAGGCCACCTTGCAACCACGTTGCGAATCCGAGAAGAGGCGTCAACGACCACCTGTACGTTGATGGAATGGTATCCATGGCGGTTGACGTACGCCTCCTCGTGCACATGGGGTGCCTGGATCCGGACATGGGTACCGTCAACAGCACCCACGACCAAAGGAAAGCCGGCCATGTCGTAGAACTTGTGCTGCAAGGCTGCCCCCTCCGCAGCGTCAGGCCATCTGCGTCGTTGATCCCCTCAGCAATTAAACCACATATAGTAAACTTACAGCTACAATGCTTATGAATACCTTTTTAATGAGGAATGCTAAGGACTTTGGCTGTGCCCTTCAAGTTTGTGGTAGCAGTAAAGTGCCTCAGTAGCACCTGTTCAATAGTGAAGTTTGCATGTTTTCATAGGATCCCTTTTTATTTTTGTTCAGTTACCAAGACCTATAAAGTGACTGTGATTCGGTGCAAGTCCTTACCAAAAGTGCAAACGGGTCGCTTTCTGAGGTTTCTCAGCAAAATGGCGTGCCCGGGCCCTTTCCAATCGGGCAAGTAGGACGCTTACGGCCGTAATCATTTTTTTTCTATTGAAAGGGGGGGGGGGGGGAGGAGGGAGGGCTAGTTACTAGTAGGTAGAATATTACTGCCATAAAAAGGCAACCTACAAAACATCCCTATCACCAGCAATTCAGATATATTTTTAGTGTATTTACTTTACTTCAATACGGCTGGCAAACTACAATTAAAAGGAAAAAAAAAAGGACCCTTACCGTATGAAGTCTTGTGCTCGACGAGCCAGCGCTACGGTGACTTGCCTCACAGCCCGTGAAGCACTTGACACATGCACGCGGATGTAGTCGCCTGCAGTGATCAGAAAGTTCCCAGTTGCGTAGAACTGCAAGGCGATGATCACTTGCTGCTCCGCAGAGAGGGCGCGGCTACGACGTGTACGGCGCTCCAAGTCCGGACGCAGTGTGTCGGCGAGAAACATTATGCCCGCTCTTCCAAATCGGAACCGTTGCTGCAGCCCATCCTCGTCGAAATCCTCAAAGGGGTTCAGGCGGTCCCGCAGCACACGCTGTCGCCTCATCATTGCCGCTGCGTACTGCGCGTCCGTGCGGTCTCTTCTGTGTCGGCGATTCCTTGCGTTGGACATTCTGCCCGGTAGCAAAGTCGGAAATCGGTCCGCAAATCTTATCAGTCAGTCCGTGGCCGGTCGGAGGGTTTGTCGGTGGGTCGGTCGGTCGACGGGCAGAATACAGACAGGAAAACTCAGATGATAACCGAAAACGAGAAACGCGCGTTGCGTGCAACGAGGCGAAACTGGTTGTATAAACAAACACCGTGCACGCGACACGGCACACACGGCGTTGCCAGACTTGGAAGCGACGGTCGACGCACTTGCTTTTTGCAAAACACGACAACAGAAAACTGCAAAGCACTTTGACTAGGTGTCTTGTCTACGCTTCCACACTTCGAAAGAAAGAATTTCGATGCAAAAAAGAAACTATCCTTTTTCTTTTCAATTGAGCAAACGTTTCTTGCAAGTTACAACTAGATTTAGCCGAAAACGGTTCCCATAAAGCACACGTTGTATCATAAAAAAAATAACGATTTATTTTTTTCAGCACAAGGTGGCGCAGGCTCCAGCCCAATAATAAAGGACGGATTTGTTTTATGTCCAGCCATTAAAGTTTCGTAGTAGGTACAACGTAGGTACAACTAGGTACTTTCGGTACCTACTAGGGACTTTGGCCAACGCTAACCGCGGTTAGCTCTTCGAGCAAACGGGCCCTGGTCTGTCTTTGGGGAGAGGAAGCCGCCGACGGATGGTAGACACTAGAGTGCCTTTATGTGCGCTTCGCATAGAGTGATGCCAACTGCCTGTTTCCCTTTCCCACACCCGCGTCCACCGCCATTTTGTTCCTCTCATTGTTTCCCCGTGCGCCGGAAAGTGGCCTTTGTGTCCATTGGTAATCCCATCCGAGGGGGAAAATGCTAATCCTCCCTCCGTGGGTTCCACAACGCTGCTCCGAACTTCTAAGATAAGGTGCTTGTTTCCGGGAGGGTTATAAGCCCCACGGATTATCGCCGAGGAACAAAATGGCTGCTGGTTAGTCGGCGAGTGGTATTACAAAGGGTGGCATCACCCTAGCAAAGCGCACATGAAGGCTCCCTAGTAGACACGGGCTTGTGGGAGACGGCAATGCCGTGTTTCCGAAGGACGCGTCCGACGGTCTCACTCACATTTTTCACATAAGGGAGACAGATCCGATTAGACGGTCTCGAGGTCGGAGTCACAGGGGGGCGGCGTAGGCGTTTGTAGATGTCGTTAATGAACCGCTTTGGTCTGAGTACATTGCCGCCGCGGCAGTTTCTATGCAATGTTCATTGGTTGGAAAAGAGAGGGTTTGGTGTTTCCACCATGACTGCATACTCATAGACCTTTTGCAAAATTACCCAATCACCAAGGAGCATGTACGAGCGTATTTACACTCGCTGCACGTGCTGGCATCTGCAGACGTAGCTATTTTAAAGCGAAAGTCCAAA